CCTTGGGGAGCCCAAAACATTGGGGTTCCCTCAAACAACTAAACAAGGATTGCTCTTTAAATATAGATCCCAGTACATCACTTAATACTGGTGTTCTGTCCGGCATTTATTTAATGTTGTCAAATTTACCTATCAATATGGCACGCGGGTTTCTTTCCACTGCATTTTCTTCCCATTTCACAGAGAAAGAAACTGAGGGTATTAATTGGGTGAGGGGCCAACGCTGCTCTCATGCCGCATCATATTATGGGGTGGCCAGCCTAGAGCTTTTCACGCCCATACAAACAGCTCTGGTGGAACTCGGTGACACATCTGCACAGGCAACCAAGGACATATTATGGGCTGCCGACAGATCCATTCCATGACAAGCTCCACTGTGAAGCAGAACCCTTAATTTTATATTTGTAAATCAATGTATTTTTTGTATTTTTGTATTTAATGGTAATTTATTATGTACTATTGTATTTCAATGTATTTTATCATGTTGTAAGCCGCCCCGAGGTTTCGGCAAGGGGTGGCATAGAAATGTTATAATAATAATAATAACAACAACAACAACAACTACAACCCGTAGGATTGGCTGTGGGTGCCAGGCATGGCCGCCCACCCCACTTTCTACGGTATCCCATCTGTGAGTCTTTGTGCATCACATTCCTCTTTCAGCTACCAAAAGGAAGCGATATTTTTGGCCCCTTGGGGACATCAAAACCTCTGCCCCTGCTCTTAAAAAAGCAAACGCGCATGCATGCCAGGGGAAGAACTTAATCCACACCAAAGGGCTTGTATTGGAGCAAATATCAGCCCATAAGCTTCTGTGGGATTAGACCGCATTAAATCCCAATATTTTAGCTCTCGAGGATCTCGCCTGCTTACAGAACAAAGCTGGGGCACTTCCTAACTGGCTTTTTGCCCCCTCCCCAAGATACCTGCCGGCTCCCCACCCCTTCCCAGTGGGAGGGGCCAGCCACAAATTCAAAGCAGCATATCCAAACATTACAGCCCATTCACCCCCTAGTGCATGGCCAACACGAAAGCATCTCCCCCCTTTCCTGCCAGCGCATACCTGTTCTTCCAAGGCGCAAGTCGATCTCCTTCAAACCAACCCCCCCACCAGCCTCTCTGCTTGCAGATGGCTTAAGGGCACCCCAGCGGGCCACACCGGCACGCCCCTTTTGGGGAGCTGAGCCAATGGCAAGGAAGCGATGCAAATCCTCTCCCAGTGGCCACACCTCCAAGCTTCCCAGCTGCATGGCGGGACGGCTTTCCGGCACGGCATTCTGCTGTCCCGGGCAGATCCCCCTCTCGCCAGGCCAGAGAAGTCCCTGTCCTGCCCCAGGTTGCAGGAGCTTGGAAAGTGACATGGGGCACCGATGGCCGTGGAAACAAGGGGTGCCTCTTTGCCTTCCGGAAAGGACGCCCAAGCACAAAGAAATGTATTGTGCTCAAGGGCCATAAGCCTGTGCGGGGAGAATGGTGGAAATTCATGCAGTTCACATACTTAATTTCAAAAGAATTGGCCCCGCATGGAAGGGAAAGCTGAGCTATCCTTCCCACTTGGCGCTTCTGCAAATTTGGCAACGGAGCTCCCAGGGCACAAGGGTGTGTGAGCGGAGACACGGCCCTGAAAAGTTCATGTCCTTGCAGTCCCTTTTCCCAATTGCTGAAGACCACTCCAAGATTCGCTGGGGGACCGTGAGGGACGTCGCGATGAGATCAACTCCTGGTCATCTGGGTCTATTTGCTGCTCTTGCCTCCAATGGCATTTCCGTGTTCATAGGAAATGTCCTCCAAACACCCAGTACTGCCAGTCCGGCACACGCACTGGGGGAAATGGTTGAAGAGCCAAGCCTGCGTTCAGACTGTTTCTTCCATTCCTAAAGACGCCTCCAGCTAACCATACACAAACGCATGGACATCTGTGCGCTTGCTTGCACACTCGCTCAGTATTTGTACAAGAAGGTGGAGACCTGAAGGTGCAACTGTACAGAAGCACAAGGAAGCAGTCATGTGCACTCATTCATCAGAATTGTTCTTGTGGCTTAGTCGCAAAGTCGTGCCTGACCCTTTGCGACCCCATGGACAACCTTCCTCCAGGCTCTCCTGTCCTCCACCATCCCCAGAGTCCACCCAACCCCACAGCCACCTCCCCAGTGACCCCATTCAGCCACCTCATCCTCTGCCGTCCCCTTCTCCTTTTGCCGTCAATCATTCCCAGCATCAGGCTCTTCTCCAGGGAGTCCTTCCTTCTCATTAGGTGGCCAAAGTATTTGAGCTTCAGCTTCAGCACCTGGCCTTCCAAAGAGCAGCCAGGGTCGATCTCCTCTAGGACTGACCGGTTTGATCGCCTTGCGGTCCAAGGGACTCGCAGGAGTCTCCTCCAGCACCACAGTTCAAAGGCCTCAATTCTTCAGCGCTCAGCCTTCCTTACGGTCCAGCTCTCACAGCCACACATCACAACCGGGAAAGCCATTGCTTCAACTGTACACACTTTGTACAGAACTGAACAGAATTGTGCCTCCTCACTGTTCATGGAGGCCTCTGCTGCCGGCCATCTGCCAGCTCACCCCCATCCTGCCGAAGATGCTGGTCTTGTACTCTTCCACTGCCTGCCAAAGTTCAGACCACAGAGCCGCTTTCCACCAGCCTCAGAACAATTTTGTTGGCGTGGGACACCTGCACGTGGGAAACAACGCAGCGGAGTTCCAAGCACCAACAAAACCCGGCCCTTAATTACCTCCCTAATTGGAGCTTTCCTTTTCTGCCTCATCTCTAGGAAACAGAAAAGGGGATCAAGAAGTATAAAAAAACTTTGTCCGAGCCAGCAAGGGGTGCCGAGAACAGACCTCCTACTTTCCTCATTAAGTGAGCGACTCTGCCTTCCCTTTTAAAGGGATCTGGCCTGTTTTTCCAACCATCCTGCTGTTTCAAAAGGAGGACGACAAAGAGGGGGGACATTCTTCCTTCTCCATGAAAACAGGAATCTGATCTGAACATTTCAAAAGCAACCAGGCCCACAAAGAAAGTATCTGTTAATTAAACCGAAAGGGGATAAATGGAGAAAGGCAGATTTGGAATGAAGCGAAAACACACACCCTTCCCACAAAAACCTTCTTTGCGCCTCTGCCCACTGTGCCCCCGAAGCAATTACGTCTCAGCTGTACAAGCTTTGCCCCCACCTCCCCGATTTTAAAATTCACTTGCCCAGGATAATACCTTCCAGGCCTGATTGCCAAAGAAGCCCTTTGTCTGCTGGTTAGCTTTTGTCAGACCTCACTCTGCAGAGAAAAAACGCAAACGGCAAAAGGACGACAACTGACCTGCATGCATTCTGGAGGGTAAACATGCAACAAATCACAGCCACATAAAGACACACCATTAGGTTGTGTTCCTGGACACTTCGGGAAACACACAAGATCAGCCATTACCGAGCCAGATCTGGCTTTCCAAAAGGTTGCCTGAGCAGGCCGTCACACTTAAGAACCAGGCGAAATCAGACCTTTTTCTTGAATTTGTGATGATGCCGAATTTTGTAATTATTTGACTTGCTGGCCCTAATTTGCAAATGTAGAATGCTCCCCTTTGAAGAGCTTTTGGCTCATAGTTTTAAGCATTCTGTATTGGTTTTAGAAAGCATTGCAACTTGAGATGTGGATGAGAAGAGGGTACCTATTTCCATATGTGGTGGGAATGTGAATATATAATGAAATTTTGGAAAGAGATTTTTAAAGAGTATAGTAAAATACTCGAAATATAGATATACGCCCTGGAATCTTTCTGCAGGCTGCGGTACCTATAAATGACCTATGTGAGTCTCAGCACACACAGTCCTTGGTGCCCTCTTCAGGCTGAAATGGGAACTGCAACACACAGCACAACGCATAAACAGATACCAATCCACAAGGACCTGGTCTTCCCTTGCCAGTCAAGCACCAAGCTTCCCTCCTTGCACTCCAAGCCCCAACTCAAGTGCCTGTTACCACCTTTGACTTATTCCACAGGTACACCTTTCTGGGACAAGGATAGCTTGGGAACCCACCACTTAAAGGAGCTGCCCGTTTTTTACCGCGCAACTCCTTGCGGAGAAAAACGCATTTCCTACCTCTTTGCTATCAGGCTAGCTTCAAGGTCCTGGTGCTCACCTAGGAAGTACACAGCTCAGGTGAGCCTGGAAGCCACTTCACCTGTGTTAGCCGCTTTGCCAAACTATTTCGGACCAGGATATGTGAGCGTGAGACTTTGCCCTGACCGACCTGTCCAATCAGTGAGGACGCGGAAGTCCAGGTTGTAAGCCACCCCGAGGCTTCGGCGAATGGGGCGGCATAAAAATGTTTTAATAAATAAATAAATAAAAATAAATCTACAGCCCAACTGAAGTCCATCTGTAGAAGCACCTTCAGGGTGGCGGCCACATTTCTGTGGAACTCCCTGCCACAAGAGGTCAGGCAGGCAACAGCACTACTCCCAGCTCCTCCTGAAAACATCCATAAAACCAGGTTTACGGATATTAATTTTCTGCTCTTGTTTTTTTTATGAATGATATGAATTTTCTTGATATGCATTTTCTCGACACATTGTTTTACTCGTTTTAGCTTTCATTCTTCCCTGTTCTTAAGTTTCCATATTGAAAGATGACACAGTATTTCTCAATCCTTTTAGGAACATGCTTCCAGAAACTTGTGTATAAACCACCCCAAAATAACGGCAGCAGCTCCCAGTACATGGAAGCCAACAAGGTAACATCCATCGAGTCCTCCTAGCAGGTGAGGGAGACCAGCACGGGGCCAAACGCCCAGCAGAGCTGGAAAACATCAATTGGGATCTCTCCGCACATCACACAAGGCTGGAAAAATGGGAAGGATCTGCACTTTCAATACAGCGCCTTGCATTCTGCCCCGACCAGGACTGGAGGTCAATCTCTACTTCGGAAAAAAGCAGTGGCCAAACATTCCCCAACCCCGGAGAGAGAGATTCGCAAGGTAGAATGAAAGTCACCAACGCACCGTCTTCGTGGCCTTCGCGGTTCCTCCTCCGGTGTCTCTCTCGCCTGTGGCTGACGACTGACTCCGTCCCCGTTTCGTTGTCCAGCCCGTCTCGGCTGCTTGCGGCATTCGGGCTGTGGATTCAGGAGACTGCGTGAAATGTGCTGATCAGCATTCAAAACAGGAAGGTACCATTTAAGCAGGGACTCCCCACGGCTCTTCTGCACCTCTAGCCACAAGCAAGCCTTTTTAAGCACTCGGCGAGGCATGTGGTACAGTCCCGCCTGGACAACACCCTCTCAAACATGTTCACAGGAGACTGTCCGTTTGAGACAGGTTATCTTAAAAAAAAACAAGCACACCTTCATGGATTAATCATTTGAATTTAAGTAAGGTTATATTTGTGTTAGAATGTAAACACAAATGAGGAAGTGCAGAAGCAATATTATTTCTAATCTCTAGTTAAGAAGGGATGGGAAGGGTCCTTTTTGACTAGAACCCCGGAGAGGGAAAGATGCTCTTCGGATGGAATCCAGACTGCGTGGACGGACATCCATGCGGCTTAAACCGCGATGAACTTGATCTGCTGATTTCAGTGGGACTGAAGTTCAACAGCGCTAGCTTGGCTCCAACCCGCACATTGTAAAAGCACCTCCGGAGAGGTGGCCCTGCAGAAGAGAGAACTGTCCCTGGACAGCCACTCAAAGGGAGGAATGTTCTCTGTAAAGGAGGACACAGGGCCAGTGTGTGTGTGTGTGTGTGTGTGTGTGCGCGGAAAACAAAGAAGGTGTTAGCCCAGCCGGTTGTGGGATGGCACTCGAGTACTGGACATGCCACCGGAGGGCAGCAGAAGAAAACGGAGCGAAATGGGGAAGCCCATGGGCTACATGTTCCTATGGGGATGATCCTCCAGGGCAGAATGCGTACCAAGATGCCCGTGACGTGTTCCTGGGTGGAAATAAGCAAAGGAAATGGAGCTGGAAGTATCAGGGCACAGGTCAGCTCAACCATCCTGAGACGTCAGTAATGGGACGGTATATCAAAGCTGTAAATAAATAAAATAAACTATGGAGAATTGTCCCCTTTTCATTTTTTTGGACTGCTGTTCAGGCCAGAATTTCCTAGCCCGTTTCTGGAATACAGGACTTTGGCAATTGCACAGATAAACGGCCCAGATGGTTTGGACTACAACCACCATCAGCCTCAAGCAGAGGGTGGTGGGAAATGCAGTCAAAAACTTCTGGGGAGCACCAGATTAGGGGAGGAGTGGTCCATAAAATAACTTTTAAAATATGATTTAAAGTAGGCCCATTATTATAAAGACATAACGTTCTCCTTATTAATCATCGTAAAATTCTGGCTAGCACCTTGTCAGAACCCAGCTGTACCAATAAACCATGGTTTGTTAGGCATGAAGAAAGCCCGTGGTTTAGTGCCAGGTTCTGCACCGTGGGTTGTTCACCATGATTTGGTGTCTCAGACAGAACAAGCACCCACTCAATAAGATGGGATATAAATGCAACGGAATAAAAAGTTATGGAATGCGCTCCCCAGAGAGGTCCGCCTGGCGCTGTCGTTATTTGGTTTTCGGCGCCAGGCGAAGACCTTTTTATTTAAGCAGCATTTAAAATGTTAATATTATGGAATTTTATCTGGCCAGGGCGGCTTATTTTATATTGTATATTTTTTTTCTCATGTATATATTTTAATTTTTATTTATGTGGATCTAATTTATTGTTGTAAGCCGCCCCAAGGCTTCGGCAAATGGGGCGGCATAAAAATGTTCTCATAAAATAAATAAATAAATAATAAAAATAATTCTAACAGCAAACAGAATTGTTCGACAACAATCCATACTCAACCCATACCAGGAGACCTGAAGGAATGTCTCCTTCCTTACATGCCCTCACGCCGCTTAAGATCTGCGGGAGAGGCCCTGCTCCGGGAACCCTCCCTGAAGGAGGTAAAAAGGGCATCTACTCGGAGTAGGGCCTTCTCTGCGGTGGCACCCAGATTGTGGAGTGCGCTCCCCGGAGAGGTTCGCCTGGCGCCGAGCCTATATTCTTTTTGGTGCCGGGTCAAAACCGTTTTATTCAAGCATTATTGTAAAAATTAGCATTTTAACGCTTTTAACAGTCGCGTTTGATTCGATTTATTTTATTGATTACATATTGCTTGATGATATTGTGGTATTGATGGTTTTATTGGATTCTGATTTTAAGATTATAAGCCGTCCTGAGATGCTATACATGAAGGAGGGCATATAAATGTTTTAAATACATAAATACTTAGTCCTTGACTGTGGGTTGTATTGTCTGAACCCAGTTCATTCACAGGTTGTCAGGCAGACAAGTGTCCTTTTCCACCCAGTGCAGCCTGTTTCACCAGGGACTGAACCAGGGTCTTCCACACAGAAAGCAGGGGCTCTACCACCGAGGTACAGCCCTACCCAGAGAAGACCCTACAGCAGTAGGATATGTATATTTGGGGAGGGGAACCCCAAGACAATGATCCTTCATGAAAATACAGACTTCCCCCTCTGTGTCTCTGTTTTTCGTTTGTGCATAGCTGAAAGACAGACTTTCGATTCAACTCTTTTCACTAAACAAAATCAGGTTAATCGGTACCTTTCAGAAAAACAGGGTCCACAGACTGAAATGAAGTAATCAGAAGAAAAAAATTCTAGCAAAGATCCTTGCGGCACATTTGTCCGCCGACGTATCCACAAAAGCCGGCAGCTAACTTCTCAAACCTAGTGGCCTCCAGAGGTGTCCATGCTGGCTGGAAATGATGGGAGCTGTAGTCCAGCACATCTGCAGGTCAGGGAAGCTGGTTTATGTCAGAATAAATGTGTTTGTCTTCAACAAGCCGCAGGATCCGTCGTGGTTTCTGCTGCAGTGGCCGAAAAGGGCCACCCCTCTTGAATGCTTCCGTAAATGGAGGATCTTTCTGCCCTGCTGGATTTATGCTGATTACCGGGGTCAGCAGTTCTGGCCGGCAATATTTTAAATAATATATTTTATCTTGCTTTCAGGCCAGATCAGGGCTGGCTCGGCCGTAATGTGAGCCGACGAGCTGGCATCGGGCGGTGGAAGGGGAGGAGCAGCAAAATGTGTTTTGGAGAGGCTATACGGCCACTCTTCCCTGGTGGCACTGGCCACAGCAAAAGAGCAACTGGGAGGGTTCTCTAGTGTGAATTGCACTGTGTATCAGTGCCCCCCACGGTCCTTTCTTAGTACAGGCCCATTCCACCTGAGAGACAGTGCGGTGTAGTGGTCAGAGCATTGGACTGTGGCTCGGGAGACCTGGTTCTTAACCCCTCTGAGCCAGGAAGCTCACGGGATGACTTGGGGCTAGTCTCTGATTCTCAGGCCAACATACCCTGCTACGGGGTTGTGAGAAACAAAAATGGCAGCTCATGGAAGCTGCTTTGGGTTAAACCCAAGAAAAAGAAAGGTGGGCTAGAAGAGAATAAACAACAGAAAATAAAAATGCCCACCCAGCAACCTGGTTAGCTGGACAGGCTAAATGGCGCAGCTCCTGGTTTATGCCCCAGTCACAGGATTCCGGGGAGAGGACAGCTCACCTCACGGGCATTCAGCTGACTACTAGTGAGAGGTCTGCAGCTTGGGCACAAGGCGGAGCAAGGGGGCAGGCGAGCAGTTGCCACTGGCCGGCTAGAGCGGCCAGCAAGAGGGGGAAGCAGAGCCAGTACAACCCAGCTGAACTGGCCAGCACAAGGGACATCTGCAAGCACAGTCTTTACTGGCAAACCCTGCCCCATCTGCGGCCCCCGTTCCAGAGGGAGCGAAGACCTGAGCAAAGGGCCACAGTGCGGGTCTGCTGAGGGGGACGATGGGAGGTGGAGTCCTACAGCAGCTAGAGGGCTCAAGTCCCACAACTGCTGCACAGAGAGTAAATCTCCTCAAGCGAAAAGCTACGGGAAGGCAGGTTTTCACCTAGGAAAATGCATGCCGACTCTTGGGTGCACCAGCACACAGGTGCCCAGTAGCAGAACTGGCTTCTTGTACCAACACAAGGAGAAGCCTCTCACAGAGCAATTCCGGAAAAGAAAACAGAAAGACGTACTGGAAGGAGGGGGGGCGAGAGTCTCCGATGCCCCCGGTCCTCTCGATGGGAGGAGGAAGGTCCGCGTGGCTTTCAGTGCATTGGGAACCGGCGTCCGAATGGGAGCTCTCGGCCAGGACCAGCTGCAAGAAGCAGAGAAGAAAGCCAGAGCATTAGGCTGGGGGTGGGGGGCGGGTGGCCCAACACCCCTTTTCACTAGCCCTCTGAAAGCTACCAGTCTGGGCCCCTGGGCAGAGAAGAGGGCAGAACGACACACAGGAGGAGAGAGATGGACAGACAGAAGTGACTGAAGCAGCGAAGTGGGAGAGAACAGAGAGACAGGCAGAAAGAGAAGGAGATGTACTGGGAAAGCAGAAGACAGAAAGGCACACAGGGAGAAGAGGGAAGGCAGGCAGGCAGGCAGGCAGAGAAATGGTGCTCGCAGCCACGATGCGCTCTGGTCCCACCCACCTCTGGCTTCAGCGCCCTCACCTTCTCCTTGCAGTAACATTCAACTCCAAAAAACACTGATAATCGGACCTCGAAACCACATGCATCTCCCAATTACTGCGTCACTAGAGAAGAAAGTAAGTTGATTTGGCCTTCCCCTGTCCTTACATCCTTCTCCCCCAAATTCAGCTGCTAAGTGAGAATCCCCATTCATTTTCTGGGCTTTTGCTTTTTTCTTTCCCATTAGCATCGTTTTCAATCTTTGCCCTGCTGCTGGCTTTGACTTTGGGTTTATTTTGTCTCAAACCGAAGAAATGGCATATTATCCTTGAATACGTACTGCATTCTAATTGCCGGAGCCACTCTGAAAACTTGGGCATTTGGGAAGCCCAAAAATGCAACCCAGTGAAGCAACTTCCCCGAAATAGCAGCCTTGAATTGACAGCCGAGATCTGACCTGGGTTGACCTGACCTACAGTCCCAAAGGACCTATTCTGGGGAACAGAACTCCAAAACCAACTCATTCTTGCCTTTCGGGACTGAGTGCAGACAATACTGAGCAACTGAGCAAAACTATAGCTGCTTAAACCACATTTGCCGGATTGCTTGGCTCCCAGGTGATGAGGTCAGAAAGTCCCTCCGTTCTCGCAGATCGGAGCACCAATCCTAGAATCATAGAATAGTAGAGCTGGAAGGGGCCAAGGCAGCCTTGGGGTCCAACCCCCTGCTGTTGCGGGACACCAAGTCACCCCATCCCAATCGCTCTCCACCGCCTGCAGCAGGTGCAGAGAGAGCAGGGACAGCTGCATCTCCGAGGCTGGAAGAGTGGCCTTGCAGATGGGCCTCTGGGCACGTGAGCAGGATGAGACCAGCACCGTCAAGATGCCACATCTGCCTCCTCTCCTGGCCTCTACAGGTGCTACTCTTAGAAAGCTGAAGCCTGCTTGCTGAGCATTTCGCAGGCCAGGAAAGTCCAGACACCACTGATCCTTCCGTCCCTCGTAGAAGATCCAAAGCCCTCCAGCGTTTGGAGGGCTCCAAGCATCCAGGGTCGATTGCACCCTCAGAGCTCCACCAAACATGGAAGGCCAGTGCTGAACTCTGCTGTCCGCAAACCGCGCAGCAATGCAGATGGGCAAAATTTCGGCTATGGATCCGTTCTTCCACCCACGCATCGCATTTCCAAAGAGATGGTGCATCCTAGGAGAGCAACCAGAACGATAGCCAAAAACAAAGACGGAGAAATGTGGAAGGTGTATCTGTGGTGAAATACTTGGGTAAGATTTCCCCCCATGCAAAACCCAAACAATAGTTTCTCTTCCCTTGGGACTTCATTCCTATGATTCAGTTTTTCTCACCTGCGTCTTCTGTCTCCCCAGCCGGCAGCTGCTGGGGAAGTACCAAAGAACGCAGATCGCACCAGCCCTTCCAGCGATGACCGGCTGGCTGAAATGAGTGCGCCAGGAACTGACGCGTAAAGGAAGTGTGGATGCAAAGCCCCACTGGAGGTGCAAGTCAATGCGACAGAGAAAAAGCCGGAGGGCCCGTCCCTCCTGCAGATGAGAAGAGCTGCATCGTTTTAAGGTGAGGAAGAGGAGAAATAAAGGAAGACCCTTCTCCCTACGGAGCTCCTATCAGAAACACTTCCAGGACGTGGGGTTCCCTTTGCTCCAGAGGGAAGTGCCAGGGAGAAGAGGGGGTTATACTGGCAAGCCAGAGCTCCCCAGAAGGCCACCTCTGATCCCCCTGGCTCCCCGCCAAGCACGGATCGTTTGGTAGCTTCCAGCCGGCCCAGCTCACCCAGTGGGCAAAGTGAGGCAGCTACATCAGACAGGAGATTCAGAGGGTGGGCAGCAGCAGGGCTGAGGACAGAGCTGGGGGTGCCCCTGTGCTGCACCCCATGAGCTTGCTTGCTTGCTGCCCTCCCGTGGGGTGGATGCTGCCCCAGCAAGAGCCCCGGAGGAGGATTCAACTGCATGCCAGAGGGCTTCCGAATGTGGACTGGAAGGGGTGAAGCTTTGCATTTGGGCTCCAGCGGCAAGATCCTGGCCTGCCCTCTTCGCTCCCTCTGATGCCCCTTTGCTCTTTGCCACCTCCAGCCTCCCTCCCTCTCTTCCTTCCACCCAGGCAGCTGCTGGACGACCCTCGCAAGAAATCCCACACTGCGGCTTTGCAATCACCCAGAGCACCGCAGCTTGCCCACCCTGTGCCAGAGCGACGTCCCGGCTCTTCCACAGCACCCAGTTGTTCAGGGCAAAGCTCCAGAGGCTCAGCCCATGACCAAATCTGCCCCCCCCCCAGACCTCCAGAAGAGCCAAGTGCCCTTCCAAGAGCCTCGTCACCTTCCCCCAACCCCGATAATTGCTAGTATCTGGGCCCCGGTGCAGGTTTCCTCCCCCGCCCCCACAAAGGGAGAAACGCTTTCCCCGAGGCTTCGTTCCTGGCACGAAAAGGTCTGTGCTAAAGTATCTCGGTCTGTGGGGTATTCTCTCCCCCCGCCCTGCTCCGTTGCGTTCAGCCCTGCCCATGCCTGGAATGCTCCGAACTGCAATTCAGGCCTCGGGCAGAAAAAGGCTGCTTGGCTCCAGGAAGGGGAAGCAAGACGAGACATGCCACACGCACCCAGAGCTCTGGGGGTGGACTTCTCCGACGGCTTGGGAAGCCCTGAGGCTGCCCTACAACATCTGGCCTCTGGGGCAGTGGCTTCAATGGGGCTCAGTGAGGACTGGCCCAAATTATCTGGGAGATCTGGGGCAGGGGGGGCAGGAAGGCCTGCTCCATGTCCTGCGGAGCTGGCCCCAGGAATTCACTCCCACATGATGGGCTGAGGAAGGGCAGCTTGAAAAGCAGAGAGGACCTCTCTCCCTGGAGAAGAAAGCCACCCTTGGGCTGCTGGTGCTGAAGGCACTGGACCACCTCTGATGGCCGGAGGAGTGGGCTGTGGGGAGCGTGGGCAGGAGGGCACTCCCCTCCAGCGGGGGGGGGTGTCCCATGGGGCAGCAGGCCCTGGGAACAGGCGGACGGATCCCTGGCGTGACGCTGCAGGAGGGCTGACGGATGCTCTTCAGCGTCATACAAACAACGAGGCGTTTCACTGGGCCAGCCGTGACCCTCTTGCCTCTCGGGAGACTGTGAGTGGGACCCACACCGGGGAGGGTCAAAGGGACAGGAAATGGGAGCTTGAGGCAGGGGTAGGAGTTCTGGGAGAGGAGGCAGAAGCTCAGGTCCTTGAGGCACTCCTCAGGTTCCCAGGCTGACCAGGACAGAGGGAAAGTTCCGGAAGGAACGAGGGGGATCAAAGGACAAGCCCTTGCCCTGCCCTGGAGTCAGGAGGTATGAGCTGAGGACTCGCCTCGGCACCATTGACTGGCCCTACAACAGCACGGTTCACCCCGGGTTACTGAAAGGAAAGGCTTTTGGGGAGAAGTCCCCAGTTTGGATCCAACAGACACTCTTAGTATGCTCAGAAGCATATCTTCCGGCTCACCGGGGAGCTTAGAGCATCACTTTCCCTTGCAGCTGCCAATAAGCAATCCGTTTTGCAAAGAGACGCTCCAGTGTTTGGAGTTTTGGGGCGAGGAGGAGAGGACCGGGCTCCCGGCAGCAGCCAATGCGAGTTCTCGTTGCTCCCAGCCAGAATAAGCAGCAGCAGGTTAGACGGGCCGAGGGGGGTCCATCCCGCCTCCCCGGCCCAGATTAGCTAGCCCACTTCATGCAACGAAGAGAGATGCACTCGACGTTCTCTGCCATTCAGCGCTGGGCTGCCGGGAACTTCAGCCAGCACCTCCACGTGGCGCCTCTCAGGGAGACGCAGGTGGAACGGATTTTTAAAGAAATCGACATGTCGTTCTCGGCAAGCCCCTGGTGCCTGGGAAGTCCCCACGGACACAACGAGGATGGCTCGTCTCACGGGGTGCTCCTTTGCCATCCTCGTTAGGGGGCCATTGTCGGAGGAAAGCATGACATCACCACGGGCCAATCGGGAACTGTGCCAACCCGAAGGCAGCCAATCAGCCGGTTCCCCAAAGACCGTTCTCGTCATGTCGTAACCTCTCTCAAAAACTGAATGGAAGCGTGTCCGCGGTGAGCAGCTCCATGCGCACAGCCCAGCCCATGTGCCAGCGCTCGCTCAGCTCCAGACCTGGCACAGGGGCAGGGGGATCCGTTCCGCCAGCGACAGAACGTTTCCAGGGCGATGAGGCAGTGATCGAAATCCACACCGTCCCCATCAGCCTCCCGAATGGAACGGGGGCTGCCTGTCGAGGCAGTGCTGATCCCGGAGGTCCAATTTCAGGAAAGAAATGGGAGGATTGAGCATCAACTCCCTTGCATATTTGGGCAGAGAAAGCCCTCTTTTTGTTTTATTTCCTCTTTGTCTAGACAGACATGGGGTTGCGTGTTAAGCTCTCTTCCTCCTTAAGCCTTAAAACTCGCTTTCCGGGATCAGGCCCACCTTAGCTATTCAGCCCATTGACAATCAGATGGGCTTCCAACATGGTTGGGGTGAGAGAGGAGGATTATCCAGAGGCCCAGTTCCAAAATCCTGAGATTGGGCCGGCCGGGCATCAAAGGCCAAGCTCTCCACCCCAGCCTCTTGCAGCTGGCACTGAATGACCAGCTCTGGCTGCCCCACTGAGGTTGCAAATTGGACCCTGGGGGGAGAAAAGGGGGCATGGGGAGGGGAGGGGCCCGAGGACGGGGGCTCACATGGAGCCTACCAGTCTGTTTGCCCCCTTCCCTCCCTTTATCCGGAGAGCGGAAAACAGCGGCCGAGGTAAAACCAGGATGCGAGGCAGGGCGTCCGCAAAGAACCCGTGCTTGTTTGGGGCATGGGGGGCGGAATCTCTGTGTGTGTGTGTGTGTGTGTGTGTGTGTGTGTGTGTGTGTGTGTGTGTGCGCGCGCGCGCGTTGTCAGCAGCAAGCACAAGTCTCGCCCCAAGGGACTGAAACAGACTCCAACGCTCAGTGGCAAACAACCATAGCGGGTATCAGAGTCAGATCCACAGGACAATCGCAAAATTGGGACATGGAAGATGCCATGTTGACATTTTGATAATTCCTCCTGCCTCTCCTCTAGAGAAACCGGCAAGAAAATGCAGAGCCGCACCATCTTAATTAACAATTTTTTAAATTGTTATTATTTATGTATTTATGTACTTTGCATCCTGTTGTGAGCCGCCCCAAGGCTTCGTTGCGATGGGGGCAGCGTAAAAATGTTGTAAATAAATAAAGAACAAATAAATAAGTGATACCATTTTAACAATAATCAATGCCATTTTTTAAAAAATCAGCAACATGCCTAGCTTGATCTATTCTCCTAGCCACGGTCCGGAGACCAGGAAGGCCTTGTTGCTTATTTCACCCACCCCGTTCTGCATATGAATTTCCTTTTCTGAGTTAACCACGGTTCGCATCTTTCATGAACCACGGTTCGCTCTAAACCACAATGAATGATGGTTAGAAGGGGCCCTGCAGCCAACCATGGTCAGCACCCATGTCCCCCGTGTCCAGACACAAGACTGGACCACAGTGAGATCCAGTAAGGAAAAAATAAAGGCACAATCCATTCCACAACAGATGGGGGGAGCCCCCCAAGTACAGGCACCCCCTAACCAAGGTGGGGTGACCTGGAAGAGTTCCATTTGCACTGGTAAAAGGATTGGGGATTTTTGCCCCGGAGAGGGCCTGCCACAGAGATGTAAAAGCAGAACTGAGACGATAGGCAGTCTAATCTGCCTATTCATGAGTTTATTCACTTAAGGGTATATTTTCAAGCAGAAAATTCCTACCCTAGTAGGATCTTTCTGTGCTTAAATGTGCACAGGATTGTATCCTAAATGGCCTGAAATAAGCTCAACATGCAGGTGACTTTGACAAACTCAAAGTAGTGAGCTGTGAATTTAAAATATAACGAAAGCCACCACACGCTCTTAGAAACTGAGACTGATGCTGAGCCATCCCCTGAAATTACATGGTCAGTTTCTTTCCATCCCTCTCCGCTGGCTGAATTTTCCCTCTAGGCTGCTGACTTTGGGGGATTTTATTTTATTTTGTTGGTTTTCCTCCTGGGCATATTCCCAGCCCTTCCTGGGAATCATGCTAATTAAATGTCTTGATGTCACAACATTATGCAGCTAACGGAATCTGGCAAAGCCCACTAGGAGCCAGGACAGTCCTGCCCCCACTCTGAATGGGCGAGTATTTGCCCTCTCCCCCCTTTCAGGCAGTCCCTCCCCCTCCCAGCTCCAGCATCAAAATTTGCATCCTATCAAAGAGGTGAAGGAACTTTTTATCCCTGCTTCTCCTTTCGACTCAGGACCAGCAAGAATGGATATTTCCCCCCAACTCCCCTGTTAGAATAAAACCCCAGTACCAAAAAGTTACCCTCTTCAAAAAGCAAACAGGCCAGTTCTCAACTCATAAATTAGCTTCAAAATGGCAAACACGTTTCCTCAAGGAGGACTAGAACCACCAATGTGGGACACACCTTTTGAAATTCAGGGTGCAAATAATTAAGTCCTACGTTGCTATCGGGCTCTTTTTCTGTCTAACCAGGCTTAGAATTCTGCCTTTAGCCTTTTTCAATCCACACTTTCAGCATTTCGATGTGGTGACCATTCCTCCTTTTCTGGTTTTAGGGATTTATCATTTTAAATGGCAGGGTCTTCCGCTGCCTGCTTGATGCAGGCCTTGATCTAATGCACTGACACACAGTTTTACACCTCTGAATTGTGCACGCTCCTTGGAAGCTTTAGACCTAAGCAACAGACAAATAATAATAAATAAACGGCATAGCTACCTATCTTAGAGAAATTATTCTGTCTGTGTGCACACACCTGCAAAGTTTGTGGATTTGAGGTAAATCTGCCCTTGGCCAGCAGAAGGACGTGTTACCCTGAGCGTCAGCCCTGGGAACCATAACGCCTTGCGCTGGGTTACCGCAACCCATTCACAAGCCATAAAAAACCAAGGAGAGACACTCTGCAGTTCCCTAGGAGCAAAACACAGTGGTAAACCCTAAACAAGTTAAAAAATAAACACCAAACCTTGAATGCCTCCATGGGCGCCCCTTTCGTTGCAACCACAGGCCGTCTTCCAGAAGGCCTGGACACTCTCTCTATTTCGCTGTCTCTCATACACACACGTGTGCAAATATGTGTCCACTTACCTTTCCCCAGAACCCCAACCTTGAGGGTGGCCACCTACATATTGCTAAGAAAAGGAAGGCCACTATCATCCAAGAGGACAAGGAAGGAAGGACTGGCAAACAAGAAACGGTGAATGTGCCCAAGATTCGCTCAATATTAGTGCACTGTGCAATCCGTTCCCAATTCCACTCTTCCATAGTTGCAAAAACGTGCAAATGTGAAAGCAGTGGGTGAGCTTGAATTTCCTGCAAATTCTCCCCATTTGATTTCTGTCAATTTCCTGAATTCACACAAGTCCCCCAAATCCACACAGACTCTCCCACACTTCGCCAAGTTTCCCCTGAATTCACACACGTCCTTAGATTCTCTCCGTGGACCAAAGAGGGGCTAATTCGGCCCATTGTAGAAATTCGCAAACATGCCCCATTTACAACTTTGAAGGCAAACACAAGTCCATCAAAAACATTAATAAATTGCTGAGCCCATGCCTACATTTGGTCTGCGCAGAATTCCTAAATTCGCACAGATTTCCTAAAGAGATGCATGTTTCGCGGCTTGGGCGAATTTCTGCAGGAGCGCGAATCGGCCCTGCTTTAGTCTGTGGAAGGAATTCAAGGAGGTTTTTTTGTGTAGATTTTGGGAACTTGTGAATTTAGGGAGCCCCTTTGATTTGCAGCAGCTTCTTAAATTTATGCAAGCTCACCGAGTTCACACAAAGGCCGAATTCATGCACAAACCACAAACGGGTCGATCTTCCCTCGAATTTGAGCCTGTGGCCTCCCCAAATTCACAGGCTGCCTCAATTTCCTCCACAGACCAAAGAACAGCTGGTTTAGTCTGCAGCAAAAAGCATCAGTCTTATATCTGCACATCTACATGTACGGATATGAACTTGGCCTTACAAATCTGTAAAGACAGGGCATCTGATCAGGGGTCTCCCAAATGCAGGGGTTTCAACATGGCTTTTGGAGCCCTCCCTGGAGATGAGGGATCCCCGACCTGCACAAAGGAAGTTTCCAAACCCCCCAGCAATAGCCCTTCTTCCGCAGGAGCTTAAGTTACCATTGCAGCCAGAATTTCCCCTTCTCTGCACGCATTAAATGCACGAAAACCTGCAGCCACGAACCGCGAGGGCCTGGAGCAGCCGAAAATGATGAGAACTGACGTAACCTACCCAGGACACGACGCGCCCATTGAAGCAAGGCAGTTTTGCATTGTCGTCCGAGATCTCTTCCTTCACCACCCTGGGGAAGAAGAAAAAAGAGAAAGAAACATGGAATACATCAGGAGTTGGTGCTGCACAGCTTCCTCACAAGGAGAGCAGCTCAAAAGGGCAAGCTAGCTAGGCCCACTTAATTAACAAATATTCCACGTTCTTTGGCAAGGAACCTAAGAAAGCAAATTTAATCTTCCTCCTCTGTATTTCGTCCCCTCAACAACGCTGCACGGTCCTGTGTCCTGGAGAAGTTTACTTGGTGTGCTCTCACAGGTTCTCACAGCATGGCCTTCTCTTCAGTGGCCCCTCCTTGTGCAATTTGTTCTCAGGGAGATTGGGGTAGTCTTCGTGGCCATGTCCTTTGGACAGCTGGCAAAGATGAGCTTTAAATACTCAACATGGCTCTCTACGTGGTTATTATTATATTTCTATACCTCTCACCAGCCCACAAGCTCCGTCACGTTTACAATATCGCTGGTTTTAAAAAAACATTTTGGGTCGGTGCATTGAAACTGGACCAGGGGATCCTTCTAACATATTTAAATATGACTTCCTCACAAAATGCACCCCAAATTCAAAAAGTTCAGGGGGCAAGATCCTGCCCTCCAGCCATCCCAGCCCTGTGCTTTCCATGTGTGCTGGATTACACCCTCCATCATCCCCAACCAGCCTGTAGAGCCAGGGATCCAGACCAGGGAACGCAAATCTTCCATTCCAAACTGCAGTTCAGCCTTTCAGCACAGAAAGCAATCCAAGGTCAAACCAGGTTCAGGGAATTGTTACTCCAAGAATAAAACGGGATGCATCAAACCAGGCAAGGCCGAAAGAGAAAAACGGCAGTACATAAGCAAGGCAGTCTGAGGAGGGTCCCTGAGAAAACAAACTTTAATAACTGAAACTGGCTGTCATTCTTCTGAGATCCTACAAAAGTGGGGATTTTTATTACACGCAAGAGAAAAGAATAAGGGAAAGATTTGTCTCTTCCTATTCACATATATATATATATATATATATATATATAGAGAGAGAGAGAGAGAGAGAGAGAGAGAGAGAGAGAAAGAAAAGAGAAAAAGGATAAAGAGGATAAAAGAAAGAGAATGAGAAAGGAGAGGAAAACAGCAAGCGAAAGAGATGGACAAAGAGAAAAAGAGAGAAAGGGGAAGAAAAAGAAAAAGAGAAAGCAAGGGGAATCCATCACCCCTTATCTAAAATGTTGGGTTTCCATTTTTTAAAAAATCAGTATTGCTTTCAAAGAGCAAAGCTCTCGTATAATTAAAAGAGGAAGCCCAGAGGAGCCATTTCCATGAATCAAAGAGTGTTCCGGCACCATCCTAAATAAAAAGGTTTCCTCCAGCAGCTCTTCCCAACCCCTCCGAGTGCCATGGAGTCCTCACATCGCTCTGCTGTCCCATTTCCGGGCCAGGGAGACTTAGAAAATGAGTGTGGCAGCCACGGCCCCATGAACACGCAGACAGAAGCCAATCCACTCCTTCAGAGAGGCTCAACGGACAGACGATGGAAGCGGGCAGGAGACAACAGGATGGCATTCAGTGTGGATAAGTGCCAGGTCTTGCACTTGGGGCACAGGAATGGGTGTCGTAAGTACAGGTCAGGGGACAAGTGGCTGGAAAGAAACGCTTGTGAAAGGGACCTCGGGGTGCTGGTCGACTGCAGGCTAAACATGCGTCAGCCGTGTGATGCGGTGGTCAAGAGGGCGAACGCCACCCTTGGTTGCATGGCCAGAAGTGTGGCTTCCAGATCGAGAGAGGAATTACTACCACTCTACACGACTCTGGTGCGCCCGCAACTGGAGTATTGTGCTCAGTTTTGGGCCCTTCATTACAGAAAGTAGATAGCCAGGTTGGAGTCAGTGCAGCGTAGGGCCACAAGGTTGGTGGCCGGTTTGCAGGGGATGCCGTATGAGGTGAAACTGAGGGAACTGGGTCTCTTCAGCCTGGAGAAGAGGAGACTCCAAGGGGATATGTTGGCGACATGCAGATATGTGAGGGGGCGTCACACGGAGGTGGGTAGAGACCTGTTCTCCCCTGCAGAGGAAGGCAGGACGCACCCCAATGGAGCAAAGCTCAGGGAACCCAGGTTCCATTTGGATGCCAGGAAGCACTTCCTGACAGTCAGGACCCCGAGGGTGTGGAATGGCTTCCACGGGAGGTCGTTGAGGCCACATCGGTGCGGGTGTTCAAGGACAGGCTGGACGCGCACATGGTGGGCATGTGGTGAGCAGAGCTGGCTGGAGCCAGGGGTCAGACTAGATGGCCTGGGAGACCCCTTCCGACTCGCTACGTTTCTATGTTTCTGTTTCCTATCCAGAGGGAAAGCGGTTTATACAAAATGATACGGTTTATAAAAAAATAATACTGTCTCTCTGCATGGTGCCTGGGCACAAAACTCAGACCCTTGGTGGGCAGAAGCAGCTCCTCCGGAACTCCCCCAATTAATTATTTTTTTAGAGAAATATCTTCTTAGAAATGTTTTAAACATTTCGCGTCTATGCTGTGACCCTTTTAAATTGTTTTTATACATGTTCAATTCATTGTGTTTTAATTGAGTTTTCAAGTGTTTTTACTCTGCTAGTATGTTTTACATCGTAAGCCACCTCGGGAGGCTTCAGAAATTCTAGGCAGCCTATAAATATATGTTAATAAATAAACAAAACAAATTATGGTGTTCTTGTTATTTACATTGCGTTCATAATTTGACTTGGTTCCTCTTGCAAGAGGCGGTGGCACGCATGCTCTCCCCTGACTTTGCTTTATCGTCACCAAATAACCTGTGCAATTGCGGTTTGGCTGCGTCTGTTTTGCAGCTGCCCCAACAGCAGAAAAATGGAACCTTCTGGCACTTGTTTCTTTAACGGCTAAGCCCCAGTGGAAGGTCTGGTTCTGCTTGCGTCCCCCCATGGGAGCAACTGGACGCTGCGGAAACATGCAGTGCTTGAAATAGCTCCAGTTTTTGGACAAGGGTTGCACAGAGATTCCAGGAAGGCCAAGGAACGGGTTCAAAACTTCAACCTTTCCGAGCCAAGCTGGGGCCGTGACCTTCTCTCTTTCTCTCTCTCTCTCTCTCTCTAACATGTGATTGCATTTTCTTTTTTCCAAAGGCAAGTGCTTCTTTCCGCAAAGCCATGCACGATGCTCCTCTTTTTCTATTTTTTCGTAGTGTCCTTAGTGTGAAGACGTTCTAGTGCGGGATCCCAGCGGCAGGCAGAGCCAACGGGAAAGGGGAGACGAACCCAAGGCAAGAAGCTGGGCCCAAAGTCCCGGCAACTTTCCGTCTAAGTTGATCAAATAATCATGTGTGGTTACCATGCTCTGTGGGACGTGTCACCATGATCTACCTGACAGACCAGCAAGTAGTTTCTATGTCACCCCGGTTTCTATCCTCCCCACTCAGTCCTCTCACTGCTGGCACATCCCCACCAGCCACTGCACCTGGAATTCAATCCAAAGGTTCATCATTCCCTGCCCCAGTCACCTCTCTGTTCCTCACTGGTCTGCATATAGAGTCCGGATGGCTAGAGTGGCTCCTGCAGCTGCCACTCTTTCCAAAGTACTCTGTGGTACCCTAACAGGACCATGGTGGTTCAAACAAGCAAGCAAGCCATGGTGGTCCAGAGAAACCACAAAACAAGCTATTGTTTCTTATTGTGGTTTCTAAAGACCAAACTTAACATACAGAAATACAATTTGGACAACAAGTAACTTTCTGGTTATTGATGTGAGATAAAAATCCAGTAAATACATAAATACGACAACACAACGGTAAAAAAACCCAGAAACACCATGATTTGTTGTGATGTCTAAACCCACCCCAAGACTAAAGTTACTAGCAATAAGAATTTAGGGAGAGACCCGTCAATCTTTTAGAATACAGCAAATGCTATACAAAGCCCCCCATTTTCAACTTCCGGTTTCTGGTTTTTAATCTGTTGCCGTATTTTAAAATCCATGCACTGAAGCTCCGTTCCATTACAGTTTTTATTCTCATTTTGGGTTTAGCCCATAGTTTTCAGCTTTTGGGCTTTACTGGGAGGAATTTTATGATTTTAAAAGCTGCAAAGCACCCAGAAAGCTTCAGCTCTTGGGAGGTGCCAAGAGGTATCAACTCCCTAAAAACTATTTCAGTAATGCTTATAGAGGTAACATCCTTGGTCATTCAAAGTCCTTTCCGTTTGCAACCGTGCAATAGCATTTCCACGCACCATGTTCCTCCTATAGAAGCAGACATACAAAATGTCCATAAACGATCAAGCTAAGACACCCCATAAGATCATTCTGCCCCTCCAAGCTGTGCTTGGAAAGGCCATTCCTAGGGACTCCTAGGCCCATCCATGGCTCTTCTGCATTTAGGAAATCATTCCTTCTAACAAAGAAGTCGGAGAACAAGCACTACCAACAGGAGGGAAAGCAAAATCAGAACGAGAGAGAAGCTTCCTTTCATGCAGAACTCAGCGTTGTAATTTCGAAACAACGGCTCACATCCTCTGTGAGCCAAAGAAATTACAGCTTGCCTCCTTTAGGAGATATTTAAAATAATAATAATAAAGGGTTTGCCTTTGTTTTTATTCAGAGACGGAAAGCATTTGCTATTTTTGGCCTGGCAAGCCTCACCAGGAAAAGACCAAGCGAGGCTGCCATAAGACGCCGAACCCAAAGGTCACCTAGACCAGGTGCCCATCCAGAGTTGCGAAGAAATCCCACAGTGGTGGTGAAGAACGGGGGATTTTTCTGGCTTGCATGCTGGATGAGCAACGGAAGCCTGTGTGCTGGACTACAGCTTCCATAATCCCCAAGCACTGACAATGCTGGAGGCCACCAACTTGACTGGGTGCCAATTCCTGATTCATTCGTTCAGTTTCAAAGGATTTGGGGTATGACCAGGTGGGGGATGTCCCCACATGGGTGTTTTTGGGGGCATCAAATATCATGATGTCATAAGATCACCTCCAGATTCTTCTGCAGAAGAAGAACCAGAACATACAGCAACACCTGGAAATTCAACACAGCAGTT